AGAGTTACATTCTCAGATACATTTTTCTCATTTCCAATTGGCCTGCATTCCTATTTGCTGTCATGCCTATAGCCTTGGTACAACTGAGACTGCAAAAACCTGTCCTCTCCTTTTCACATCCCTCAGCATAAGTTTCAAAACCAGTACTTTTGAATGATCAATGCCTTCATTTTTCTCCCGCAAGTTCCTTCTTTAAAAATTCCCTAAAAGTCTGTGGATAGCAGACTTCTGACATGTGCAAGAGATTATTACCTACCATGACATAAACTGTAGAGAAGACAATCGCCACTCAGGAACATACAACTTGACCACCAGTCCACTTCAACAGTGCCATAACCTTTAAAACTCTTCCAGTTATTCCATTTTCTGTAGCACATTTTTGCACTCAATCCCTCTTCTCATGTAGTAACCACCAATCCTTTCTGCAGTTCTATCCATTGCTATCCTGACCTTTGTCATCTCTATATACTTCTATTTCTTAGTCTAGAAGGTTCACAATCAGTCCTAAAAACCTTCTCAGCTCTGTACTCTTTTTATTTCTGTGCTTACTGGAAGTATTACACACTACTTACATAGCTGCAAAGCAGGAAGAACATTTAAGATGGGATGATGGTTTATGCAGTATTACGCAGTTACCAGCTATCAGTACAGAACTGCACCACTGTTCTAGCTTGCACAGTCTGGCCATAAATCCAGCTTTCACTGGGGCTGTATCAACAGCCTGCACACACTCCAAATGAAAACAATCTGCGAGAACAGTCTCCCCAGGAAAGAACTGGCTACAGAGGTCTACCAGAAGTGAAATGATTTAAAAGCTGTGCCTTGGATAACTGGGGAAGTAAGTGGTCAGGAAGCAAAGCCAGGGCATGACTTCACAGTACAGTGGCTTTTTCAGATTCACTTTTTATATGAACTCTCTAAGATTTAATGAATAATGTAAAATGGAGAGTCTGTTGCAATTCCTACCTTCTAGCCTCCTACAATTATCTACGATTTCTCAATGTAGATAAAAATTTTCCTCTGCCACTATTCTGAAAGTGTGCTTTGGTTTCTTTTGCAGACAGAAGGGAACTTGGGAGTAACAGTACATTAAATACGAAGGATAACCAATATGCATAATTGTGTAACGTAACTTACAAAATCTGATAAAGCTATCAGAATTCCTCTTTAACTAAGAATATCCTTAAGCAAGGTCTTATTTTTCACTGATCTTTCAATTTTTTTCTCATCTTTATTCACAACGGTGAGCCTGAACTAATAAACAACTAATGCTGGAGCTTAAAAAATAATTTTAACATACCCAAGTGCTGAGAAACTTGATGAGTGCTTGCAATCACGTAGAAGTGGTAAAAATTTCCCTCTTTACAACATGCCCACAAGTGGCATATGACTGCACTAAAAATAATAAAATCATTTGTGCTACAATTAGATGTGCTTTGTTAACAGCACTTGTTTAATCTTCACAATTTTTAATCTAATAGTACCTGACAATGCCTCCCAAAACAAAGAATACTATTCTTTGTTCTTACTACCACACAACCTTTCAATGAAGTTGGAGCCTTCTTTAAGTTGGAGCACATTTTCATATTTTACTCCTGCCATAACTTCAGAAGACTCAATGAATATACTGTGCTTTTCCACAAAGTGAGTTTTACTTTGAATTCCGTACTTTCTGTTTGACACAAAAAACATCCGTAATTGTTTCTGAGAACACGTTGGTCATTTTCAGGAAAAAACAAGAAGGTTTTTATCAAGTCATGGTGCACAGCTGTAACCATTCTCCCATCCTGTTCTCATAATTATTGATACAGTATGTTGAGAAACATAACAATGAATCAGTGAAAAATTTAGCTCAGATAGGCAGATTTTTATTTTTTTTAATTTGTCATTTAGTGTGACAACACAAAGTGTGTGCAAAAATTTCCTAAGCTGCACTGGAAGTGTTACAGGGCTGTATATGGACTATACGGGCTTGAAGGCTATTAAACTTGTATATAGAGTTTTAGATGAAGAGAAAAAAAAAAAAGATGTGACTTCACAATTTCAATGAGCACACTGTGGTATTGCATGTGAGTGCTCCTCACCTGCTGTAGTACATGTCTCTCTCTCAGTGTCATTAATCTTCTGTGGAGCTCTACTAGTTCATCGAGATATGCCTAGAAACAAATACCCCCCCATAAACAACTTGTTAATTAAGTCATAGCTATGTATTTCAAAAATTTCGGATGTCTTCAAAAACAATATAAATGAAAATTCTATTTTAAAGCTTCTTTGAGCTAAATTTTCTTATTTTGTAGTCTGGCTTAATAGCAGCTTAATACAACCCAAACATAAGTTTTTGTAGGTTTTCCTAGATACTTTTCACCAATGAAAATCTTATTAGGTAGTCTCTGTATCTCAACTGCGGCAAAAAGCGTTAAACAGACTGGGGATGCCAAAACAGCATCTTTAAAATACATCTCCCACCTTTCCACCTAAGACCCAAATCCAAAGGCTTACAATCAAATCTCTCTTTTTCTCTAAAGCTACGTAACTAAGTTTCTGTGTCAACAAGAAGATATAAGGGGAGAAAGATAAAGCAGGAATAATCCAATGGTAAATTCCACTGTCCTCCCTTCCTGGGATGTCAAACATGTCCCATCTCTCCACCCAATTATCAACCTTCTCCTTCAGCCTGAGCCATCAGAAACCATTACTCTCTTTTAAGCAGATACAGCACTCAGCTTAGAAACCAAAAAGCATATGGACTAGGCCACTGAAAATCTAGCAACAGATACCAAAATTTTTGTCTTCTGCCTCACATTATCACCAAGTTGACATTAATGCCTGTAAAATATGAACCTTCAGAGGAACTTGTCCACACTGAGAAATTGTACTATGTTCAGTCACACAAGGGGATAGAGCTCTTACCCACGGCCAGCTGGCATGACTTTAAACAAAACTGTCTTTCTCAGTGTTAAACAGTAACTGTTGCTTCATATCATTCTAGTTAACATGCTAAATCACACTGCCATTTCCTAATGTACAACCACCAGAAAGGATTGCAGAAAATACTTGTTTACTGTCAATGGATTGATTTATTTTCTAGGAACAGAGCTATGAATTCTCTTCAAAAAATTATCACTTAATCTGTGAAGCACAATGCAAACTCGTGGTGGAGAGCAGGTAAAATAAATAATAGATGGCAGTTTCCCAGCTGGTGATATTTGTCAAATCACCACACATACTGAAGAGACAGAAAACACTTTCAAAATAGCACAGAAGAAAGAAAGAATTACAGAAAGATAAAGATCTGCACCTAAAGGAATACTAAGCAAAGATGTACTAATTACTGAGATTTTTGTTCTGAAACAAAGGTTAGCGTTTAGTAAACACATTAATATCACATTCTGGACTAATTTACTGTTACCTCATTATCATTTACCTTATCACAATCTCCATTCTTTATTTGTTTATCAGATTTGTTCTGCTTTATTGGACTTTTCACTTCTAAAATCTGGAAAAGAAAGAAAATCCTGTAAACATTAAATGCATAATTTGATATAATTATACATGAAAAACTCTGCTATCAGTTAATCACACAAAGACTGTAACATCTGGAGAAAATTTAATCAAAACTAAAACCTGAGTTTTTCTTTCCATACAACCTACTCAAATTTTCTCAGAAAAAAAGCAGCCTACAGCAGAAAATGATGAGTTGCTGGAATGAGGTAACATTGACATTATTAATCCTTAAAAAAAATAATTTAATGTAATTTAAAGCCTCCTCAACTTTTTTCTATCTTTGCACGCTGGTTGGATAAGAGCTCTGATTCTACAGATACAAAATGATGCTGAGGTACTCTCCAATGGCTTTGAAATGTCACATGATCAGTCTATTTTTCCTGTTTGTTTTTTTTCCAGTGCTGTCTCTTTTCTTCCGCAATAGAGATTTTGAAACATAGCCATTGAAATGAATGCATGAGTTGTAACTCGAAAAAAAGAAGTGTTTGACAGTAATATCTCTTGCACTTAAATGGTACCCTTCCTTGAGTGCCATATAAAGCCATTTATTACCACATATTCAAACCAAGAATGCTTCATCCCATATGGTGAACCACAAAGTCAAGAAGAGCACATCAACAAGCAGCAGAACACCATAGTTAACATCCAAATTTTTGGCCTAAAGTTCTAAAATATTCCTGAGGAATATTCTGGGGAAACAGAACTGTTGACTATTTTTCCAATTTTTCACACATTTTTGAAGCTAAAAGTTGAATTTTTTAAAAAATTCACCATGCCATTTCTAACATGGAATATAATCAGTTCTTCTGAAAAAAATAAGAGGAAAAAAACAGTCACAGATGATGAGATATTTTGTTTCATATTTCATTATAAGACTAATATCACTGCCATGATTATCTCCAAAACCACACTGTACGGTCCCAGCACAGGACAAAACTCAGCAAATAAAATAAGAAAGTAAAGCCTGTAAAAGCAAGTCTTACAGACTAGCAGGAAACCCCCCTGAGTTCCCTCTCATTTCTACTTCCCTTGGTATGTAAGTGACTAAAATTGCATATATGGTCCTCAGCACTATAATACAGCAGGCAGGCAGCTATTTCCTAATGTAGAGAAGCTGACTGCAGATCTGAGCTAGCCTTAAGTAAGGATTCACTTAGCCAAGAGTGATGCATGGGTAGAAAGCAAAATGTGATAATGTTGCAAAGAAAAGACTCGGTTATTTGATTCAGCACCTCCCAGGGTTACTGCTGTGTAGGCCAGTGGAAGAAAAAAAATCCTGTTCTGTAAAAAACTCCATACTCCCAGGCATGGATCCTGTACCTTTTAGATGCTTTTCTTGTTTTTAAATGAAGAAAATTCTTGGTTTAAAATAGAACCTTAGCAAGGACAAAGTATATTTGAAAAAGTTGCTTCCTTGTACTTTTGATGTGTAGTTGAAATCTAATATCTTAATTACTTATCTTTCAGATGAGACACATGACTAATTACATCTGAGGAAGCTTATATAAATATTAATTCTGTCTTAGCTCCTTAGTTCTACAAATAGACTTAGTCAACACAAGCCTGACTTCACCAGTCAAAACATCATCCTGGCAAGCAGCACTATACTACCAACCAGAGATTTCAAATGTGGCTACAGTCCATACAATTTGATTTCTCATAATGCTTCCCTAAATTCCTGATTTTCAGCTTGGTTAAAAATTCAGCTCAATTATAAAAATGGAAGAAGTTATGTGACATCCAGTTTTAGCTAGTACACTCCTATTGCTTGGAGTGTCTAAATGCACAGGTAGACCTCCTTTTAGATCACCAAAGAGGAAAGGAAAATGAAAAGATGTGACTGAGTGGGCTGCTATTATTGAGGCTTACAATTACCTCTACAAATCCACGGTCTTAATGGAATGCCCCCATGAGTGGGAGCTGGCAGAAGTCATTGTTAGGCCACTCTCCATCATATTTGAAAGATTATAGAGAACAGGAGAGGTGCCTGAGGACTGTAGGAAAGCCAATGTCACTCCAGCCTTCAAAAAGCGCAAGAAGGAGGACCCAGGTAACTACAGACCTGTCAGCCTCACCTCCATCCCTGGAAAGATGATGGATCAGCTTGTTCTTGGTGACATCTCACACCATGTCAAGGAAAAGAGGGTTATCAGGAGTGACCAACATGGATTCACCAAGGGAAAGTCATGTTTGATCAATCTGATAGCCTTTTATGATGGCATAACTGTATGGATTGATGAGGGGAGGGCAGTGGATGTTGTCTACCTTGACTTCAGCAAGGCTTTCGACACTGTCTCACAAAATGTCCTCACAGCCAAACCTAAGAAGTGAGGACTGGATGACTGGACAACGAGGTGGATTGGGAACTGGCTGAAGAGCAGAACTCAGACAGTTGTGGTCAGTGGGGCAGAGTCTAGTTGGAGGGCCATGTCTAGTGGTGTTCCTCAGGGGTAAGTACTTGGTCCAGCCCTGTTCAATATATTCATCAATTATATCAATGATGTGACAAATTTGCTGACAATATAAAGCAGTGAGGAGTGGCTGACACTCCAGAAGGCTGTGCTGCCATTCAGTGTGACCTGGACAGGCTGGAGAGTTGGGCAGGAAGAAACTCAATGAAAGCCAACAAAGACAAGTGTAGGGTACTGCATCTGGGGAAACACAGGAGGGGGCTGGCCTGCTAGAGAGCAGCTCCTATCATTCTGCGATTCTTTGATTACTTAACAATTACATTGCCTCTGTAGAAGTTAGTCTTCATTAAGCAACAAGCCATAGATATTGTTTCTGGTAGATAATAAGAATAATTTCTGGACATAGAATCTCCTTCATCTCTCTGTGCACAAACTAATCTCTAGTTGTTTGGGTTTGTTGTTCGGTTGGGTTGTTTTTTTTCTACACAGTGTATTTGAACTTAACTGACATGAATAACAATATGTTGGTTTTGCAGTATCAGTAAGCTTGTATTGGAAACTTTATTAGATAAACAATGACAAGTAAATAATTTCTGTCAGATAATTGAAGCAGTTAACCTGAAATATATAGGAAAGACTCATCCATCTAAACCACAAACTTTTGTTAATACTTGTAGATACTATTCTAACTATATCAGTACTGTAAGCAGTCATTTATTGCCAGTCAGTAAATTTCATGACTGTTTTGTGTATGATCCAATTGACAATGGGAGTGAACTCTGGCTCCACGAAATAAGTGACAAATAATGCCTTTTATAAAATCTGATTTTTAAAAAAAGAGTATCAGCTTTTATGTTTAATTTTTATGTTTAGAGAGCCTTACTCTATTGGTGACTGGGGTGAGGTAACTACCGAACTCTAATTCTTGTTTGTCTCTGATGTATTTTGTAGCTTTAGGTTATTTAATTTCTTTTCTCTGAAAAACAGAAGCATGTTGTTTCCCTGCCTCAAAACTAATAAGTGTTAGTTCTTACAGATATGGAACAAGTACCCTGATAGTGAAGTTAAAAAACTATTTTGTCTTCTAGTGATGTAGAAAATAATGCATCTTCTGGATGAACACTGGGGGAAGAGATGAATTAATAAACTCATAGGAATGAGCCTACTGATGCAAACTGTGTCTACTGCTAACAGAAACCCAAGCCTGTATCAGTTGCATGACTGATGGAGTAAAGCCTGTTTGCATTATTTACCTTGCAAAGCTAATTCATATAGAAAGGACACATTTCTTCAAATACTGATGGAAACTCTACTTCTGTCTACAGTATTTGATAAAATAAATATTCCTTCTCCTGAAATAAAAAGCTTTTATGGGAGTTTACAGACTAAGTAACTGCACTGAAATAATCAGAATGTCGTACCAATTCCCGAGAACTGCATTTAAAAATCCTGAGTTTACCTGGCTGTTGTTGGTTTTCAGTAAAGGTGGTGCTGGTTCATGATGTAGTGGTGAGGAAGCTGAACTGCTGTCACTGCCATCACTCAGACTTACCCTTTGGAAAAACAGAGCCAAGAGATTACACCCCCAGACAAAGGGCTGTTAACAGGGGTGAACCCAGCTAGCACTTTGAGGTAGAACACTAAGAATGACCCCTCGCTAAGCAAGCCATCATTAATCAAGGTCATGTGGAAGAGAGGAATTTGAGCAGGGCTGTACTTGGAAAAAGCTCTGCATAGCAAGGAGAATGAGGCTGTCTGCCTGCACTTGGCCGAGATGGCATGTCTGGTTAACAACAGCTAATGCTACAGAAACAGTTAAATATTTAGAACATTAAACTGCTCTTCCTTATGTTCCTGAAGCAAGTCCGTATGTCAGTTCACAGTCACACGGAAAGAAGAAAATGTTTTTTAGGGATACTTTTCTACTCTTCTAAAAGTTTTCTAAACAGCTGTACTATCCACTTGGACAAGTGTTTCACTGAAAAGTTCCTTGTTTCTCATAATAAATAACGTTTTTTTTCCTGGCTTAAATTTAAAAACTTAGTATCACAGGAGAAGCCCCATGAAAAAACTCAACTCCTAGTCTATGACACCCTTCATTTACCTAGGAACAACAGAGGATATTTATTTGTTGAAAGAGAAAAAATAGTTATTTGGGATAAAAAGAAGGTATAGAAACACTAGTCTTAAGGTTGTGTTAAAAAAACTGAAAAAAAAAGCTTCACACTTAAAGCCAAGTTAATCTTGAGACAATCCTTTATACATTCACTGACATGAACAAATTTTCAGACTGCTAGTCATCTTGGTCTTTTTCTCCACGATTGCAGCTGCTAAAATGCATCAGGGAATCAGCTGACATTCATTACTGTTTTCCTGTTACACTTCCATTTAAGCAGTAGCTGATACTGACACTCAGGTGCTGTGCACTCTCAACTATGGATCAGACAAAGAACCCACTATGAAAAGGTTCTAGAGGGACTGTTTCAGGTTTTCAGCAATATGCAGATGGAGTTTCAAGCTGTCTGAAGAACAGATTTTTGGAACCGTTGTGATTTAAACAGCTGATGCCTCCTCACCATCTGGGGAGGGGATTGGGAAAAGAAAAGGAGATTTGTGGGTTAAAACAGAAATAAATAACAACAACAATAACAACAAAAATGTATTAATAACAGTTATAATATACAATACACAAAGGTACACTCAGACAATATTGTGTGGGAGTAGTCCTCAGGGTTAGGATGGTAAGCAAGTCTCTCTTGAGATGTCAGCCACAAAAGAGGAAGCAGGAGAGAAAGAAAGAGAAGGCAAGAAGGGCCATCCCCAGCAAACTCCCCAATTTACAGTGAATGTGATGTTTATGGTATAAATAATAATAACTGGTCAGCCTGGAGTCACCTTGGGGTTTACTCCCTTAGGTTTCTGCTCCCTCAGGCTTCTCCATCTGTTTATCTCAAGTCTGCTGAACACCTTGAGCACTATGGCAACGTGCATACCAGCATTAGCTGAAACCTATTATAACAAAGTTTTAGCACACTGTTCCCATGAAACAGAGTGTTGCAGTCCTTACAAAATGGCAGTTTTCCTCAGCAGAAAACTGACTCTAAAATTCTGTCCCACTAAACCAGGGCAGGAACACCCTCTTAAGATTGCAGCTAGGATGCAGAAGGATTTTTTTAAAAAGTAATTTCTGTGACAGATTCTTCCTTTACCCTCTGTCTGTACTTTTACACATTACCTACTGTATGCAGTGCAGAAAGTACTTCAAAATCAAATTTCATTGATTCTGGTCCAATTTAACAGCCTAATTTAAAACTGATAACCAGAGAGATCTTGAAAATGAGAGACTATGTACAGAATAGCTCATCCAGCAATTGAAGGACTTTTTTTAACCCCATTTATGCCAAAGAGTAATTATGACTACTACCCTGAAGTCACAATGGCAAGAAATCAAGGAAAGTCAAATGAATAAGGATGATCATAACCATAACGATTAGTACAGAAATAGTTTCTATTGGGAATGGTTAAATCTGATAGTTTTTAGAAGAGGCCCTTTTACATGCATATGCTTTAAAAAGAGGGTCTGAATTCTCTCCTCATTTGCTACTTAGTGCTCTTTGAGAACATTATACCTCACGCCATTACTAACAAGCACAACCTCTTGGACACCAGGCTACTTGCAATCACAAGACACTCACCTGCGGCTCCTGCTTCCTCCTCGTGTATTTACAGGTGTATTTACAGGTCGTTCCAACTCAGAAACATTGTCATTCTCATCTGCTTCATCTTCATTATCATCTGAATGCAGATCTTTCATTACAGACCTCAATGGACCTGAAAAAACAGAGACAATAAAGTACACAAATGAAGTTCACTTTGCAGTGTTCCGCATAATTCACCCGGCTTTGCAAAAGATAGACAACTACCTTCTCTGCATAATGTTAGGAGGGGAGAGTCTTAAACATGAAACAAATAAAGTAATGTACGGAAGGCTTATGCTGCAGGGAGTTATCTGTGAATCATTTACTCACACAAGCAATTCTGCTTCAATAGACATATTCGCAACTGTGAAGTGACTCATGACCAACCGTTGGCATGATCGGCGCCTGGACCATAGCTGAAGTAAAATACAGTCATAACAGGAGAAACTGAATATTACTGTATTATTATTAGAAGCAAGATTCTTTTGCATTTCTGAGTTTTACCATTTTCTGTTTTCTCAGAAAGTAAAGATTTACAGGGACATACTGATCACTGGTAGTATGTTTGTTAGGTTAATCCATGTACTGAGAAGCAGAGTCTTACAAATCATTCTGACTAACTTGTTCCGAGCAAGGCAGTCTTTGTCTTGCTGTTTTTTTTATGTATTTAGCTTTAGCTGTTCCATTTATTTCCAGGTCAACTTCAGGTCAAGTAAGCACTTTGCCAATGTTCATACGTTAAATGTGCATCAATCCCACACAACACCATGCTATCTCTTGTCCTGAAATAAGAGAAGGTACAAGGCTTGACCTGTTCATAAAACTGCATTAAATTCAGTTTGGGATTTTGGTTTGATATAATTCTATTTATTTTTTTTTGTAAAAGACAGTTATAGAAAGGAATATGCTTAAAATATCTGAGAAATTTAAAACTACAGCTGCTTAGGCAGATGCAGCTTAGAAGAGAGAAGGAAGCAAGACTGATGGAACAGGGCATCCAACTAAAGTAGAGCCCATCTGAGACACGAAGCAGCAAGTAAAAGCAGTGCTGAATGCTGCAGGAACAGTTACAGTTCCGTAACGCCTTCAGCCTAGAAAACACAAAGTACTAAGGTGAATGAAATGAACCTCAGACTATTCTTCAAAGGGCAATAAGTTTGCAACTCTCTATTTGCTCATGGAGAAACATGTCAAGGAGTGTCACCTCTGGTCAGTACCAGAAGATAAGATAGACCTCTGTCTGTCAGAGTCATACTTTTAACAGGGAGAGTGTTGCCTTCATGGGAGGAACATGGATTTATGGATTATTCCAGACTTAGCAAGGCTCAGGTCACAGGCATTCTGGCTAGTTTTGTGCGAGTGACTTCAAAGCCAATTACGACAATGATTTACCACTAAGGTTGCACTAGAACCTTCGTAAATTAGCATAGTTTGGTTGGGTTCAGATCAGTGGTTTCTTTTCTCTGTTCTTAACACCTTAAGGTTGGATGGGAAGAAGCCCAGATGGTGCTGATGGACAAATTCCTGCTAGACTGGAGACCTGTACAGGTGACAAGAAAAAGGAAGCTATATTGAAGTACTTCTTGTCCATGCAACCACTGCTGACCTGCAGAAGGAGCTGATCTGTGCTCCATTTTCTGCTCCTCTTTGGGTCTCAGGCAGACAACACTCAGCTATTTGCTAATGGTAACTTGTAGTCTGAATGACTATCTAATAATATGACCCTTAAAGGAGGGAAAGGACACCTTCCTTGGCTTTTAAAAGGAGCAGTAATAAACAAATTCCCTCTAAAATGGAGGAGAGAGGGCACTCAGCAGCATCAGCACAGGGATAAAGGAAGAATTTGCCTTTTTTCATCTTTTGGAAAATGTTTTTATTGGCTGACTTGACTGTTGAGTTGGGTGACTGAGACACATGGTACAGGGAGCTAAATGAATTGAGGTAAAGGTTAGAAAAGACAAATTATAAATACACAAAGAAGGATTCCATGTTTCAAGAGAGATAAAAAGGTAGAACACATGGGTATTTCCACAGGCTAGGCTTGCCTAGAAAGACTTGTTTCCTTACACTTTACTGGGTCGCTACAACCACCACCAATGAACTCCTGAAGACAGCCATCTTTGTCTGCACTGAGAGGCCATGAGTGTCACTCCACTCCCTAGGCCAAAGTCAGCTTCTGAGAATGCATTTGACTCCTCTCCCAGTGTACAGGAGGAAGAAAGCAATACAAAAGACTTGATAAAGGACAGATGAAATGAAAGCATCATCATATCCTTGACGAAAGAGCAAAGGAAAAGGTCAGTGGGAGAAAAGGCAAAATTATCAACCAAACCCTGATTTTGTAATGTAATTTAGTATGACATATGAATAGGTGATCATGCATGAGACACCAGCATGTAACTCCACAACATGGAAACTGGTAGCTATGCTTTCAAGTCAACCAAAACAGTCCTTGACTTTACTTTCAAATGGAAGCAGAAAATCAGCACAGATTCCTCATGATTCCTACACAGCCTGCTCTCCCAAGCTTAAGTTAATTGATTATTCTTGCCTATGTCCTTTTTTCAAGTACAGCAGAGGGCTATTTTATCCCCTGATATTCTCTTGCTGTGTTCTGGGACAATCAGCCAGTCTTGTCTTAAGTTGCAAACATGCTTACTCCTCTTTCTTGGAGAAAAGAGAACTTGGACTCCTGAGACATATCCATCACTGACAGCTCCATAGGTATGTAAAAACCTGTCATTCAGACAAGTTTCCACTTAATGTAGGATAGGGTCTGGGACTCTGACTAGGCATTTTGTACCCAGCTAGCTAACTTCTTCAACAGACTTCCCTGACAATCAGTAAAGCATAAATTTTTAGATCTTTTATTTCTAGCATTGATAATGATGGCACTGTTGATATTCTGCTCCTTGCTAACACTTAATTTAAAATTCCATTACACTATTTTAAGGGTTTGAGAAGTTATCTCCTAAAGGGTCAGAATAGTTGAGAAGAAACAGAAAACTAGGAACTGCCTAAGAGCAAATGTTCTTGGTAAGCAAACAGAAATATCAAAGTAAGCCTCAAGGGCAGAAGAACTTGAAGAACCTTAGGTTATCCCACTGCCTTTGCAAAAAGAGGGGAAAAAAGTTCATACTGCATTTTTGTGACACTTGAGCGACCACTGGAGTTTGAATGCAACAATAAAAGAGCAATGGCCCTGGCATGTGACTTCTAGTTAGCGAAAAATACATGGGTTGTGACCAGAGCACAACATACAGTGTGAACATGCCACAGTATGCCTGATTCTTCATCCCTTTGATGTACAAATGCATGGCCTGGGCAAGGAACACATTTAGTTAACTGGAACTCTCATGAAGAAGGAGTAATCATTATTTACTGTGGCAAGAAAGAGGAGACGTATATACCACTTGCACTTCAGAGCTGTTCAGAGGAAAAATCTTCCATCTGCTCTTGAGAAGGTACAAAAAAACTGAAAGACAGTCTTTGATACGTTTTATATATGACGCAGAAGAGATGGATGGCTCCAGTCGGCTCAGAAGAAAGTACTAAGTCAACAGGTTTTTGTCCAACATAAAGTAACAGATACAGGAATGGGTATCCAAATCTTTTGACCTGAAATGGACAGTTCGCACCACTGATGAGGGTTTCATAAGAGCAAAAAAGGGGTTGCAGCAAGAAGAGATTCTGTTTAGCCTTAGGTAAAAATCAAACGCCTGGAGCCACTCATCGACCACAGTTCACTTCAGTTCTTGCTTTCCTTCATCTGAAGTAATGCTGCCAGAACACACTAGAAAGTCAGTACCAGTCACCAACGAAAAGGCAGTAGGCAAATATGCATCATGTGTAGATATATTTAAAAACAACTGTCTGCCTGCATGAGGCACTAATTTATTTTCATAACCTTAAATCAAGCCTACCATTCAGGAATATAAATGAATAAAACAAACACAATTTTAATTAGTCAAAAGCTGCTTTTCAATGCTCTTCATCCAAAGAACAAAACAAAAGCTGATTAAGAATGTATCAGGGGCGCAATCTTATAAACCCAGGAAAAAAGGCCAAGCAGGAACTAAGCAGTTTAATAGATCATGTAGAATCAATCTCAGCTTATTTACAGAAAACCAGCTTTGGCAAGTTCTCTGGGAAGAAAAATGCATTTCTGTACTAAGTTCCAAGTAAACTGTAATTATTAGCCAGAAAAGCAAAATGCAAACCTAAAGTCAACTTAAAGTCTAACCATCGATTTTCTCTGCCATGTATCTAAAGAAAATACTGTATGCTCTTACAACATCCCAATAGTATGGGAACATCAAGACCCCTTTAAAGAGTCCCATGTCCCTCAGGAAGCCACACCTTCCTGAGCAAGGCTTCAGATGGAGCTAGGTGCCATGCTACCCTAACCCTCCAAAAGTACAACCTCAAAAACAGAAGCTCTTTTGAGTTCAGTATCTGTTAAAGTGCCTGGCATGTATTTAGTGCTTCAAAACAAATACTCTTCACATCCTTTTCTCAGATACACATTTTCTCCCCTTTTATCTTGCCCTTACAGCCACATCTGAAAACACTCAGAGGAAAAATCTCTAAAGCAAAACAGTGGCCAGTTCAGGTTGTGAAAGGCAGCAGAAAAGTGATAAGGAGATGACACCAGTTCTGTTTTTATTGGTCTCTTCATTTAGCACATTCCTTTCAATGTCTTTTCCTTTGTTGGTACCTTGTCGTCTGCTGTTTCGAGATGGTGTAAAACTGGAACTGGAACTGGAGCTCGAACTGGCAGGGCTGGGCTGTTCGGACTTAAAAGAAAAAAAAAAAGAAAGTAAATAACATTGCAAGAAACATTTTTGCCTAAAACCATTACTGTTAGTTACTGCCTAAGGCATGCTATGAAGAAAAAAGAACTATGGAACAAAATAATACTCAAGTATCTTTAGTTCAGGTATCTGTGGAAATTGCTAGGCACTCAACATACGTCAACACACTACTACCTCATGTCTAGTTCTTTACTAAAGCCAATATTCTAACAGGAAGTTGCCAATGCCTTGTTCGAAAGTCATGAGAGGCTAAATGAGTTCATAATAGACCTAAGGCTCCTGTATTTCGGTAGTTGCAACATCTTCCAAATTAGTAAAGATGTAGTAGAATCAAAAACCAGAGAAAGATCTGAATAGACCATACTAAATGCCAGAAAACTTCAGACAGCTCTCTTTCTCCTGCCTTAGAAAATAAGTCTTAAGATGAGGATTCAAAATAAACTTATCTGTTGTTACTGGTTTTCTCTTCATCCCAACACTTTCCACATGTATTAAGACCCTACAGATTGTAATAACGATTGAACTAGAAAGATGGCCTTGTTACACAGGGAAATTACCTGAAACCCACAGATTACAAAAAAGAACTAGATTTTTAAAAGAGTTGTTAAAATAAGTTTACACTATTTAACAGTTTTATACACTGTTTTTTACTATGTTTTAAAATGTATAATTTTCCCTAAAATTCTGTAAAACTACTGAGAAAGGCCTACTATTTCATCTATAAATTCCATTTAATTTTTCTGACTGTTGTTACGGCTTATGAGGGTTGTACTGAGAAGTATTGCTTCCTGCTGTCATGTTGCACGTCTCCATATAATTTTTTGCTGTTTTTAGGCTGAGTTGCTTGAAGTGTATGGGTGTTGGTATCTTGCACAGTCATCTGTGCACAAGAGACAAAGAACATATCCGGTCTGTGGGCACAGTGCATGCTAACAGAGAACATGAAACAGGAAAGAAGTGTCCATACAGAAGAAATGGTGAAAATCAGGTTAGGAAGTAACCATCTAGAAATCTACTGTTGAAAGGAAAGCCTGTTTACACTTTACATTTTCTACAACTGCATTATTGTGATGTGTTATCCAGGCTTAAGAAAGCTTTCAGACTTTGCTTGCCTGTACAATATCCCTTGTGACTAAGTTAGAACTAAATTGTTCTCAAAAATAACAGCAGTAATATCCACTCACTGTAAAACCCAGTTTTCACACATGCAGACTACCTAAGCCTAACAGCTGCTTTTTCTCCATAAATCAATCTATTGTTGCCTTTCATAATGAGCAGGCAGATTTACAGCCTTTTACTGCCTTTTCTCACAATGAGAGATGCCTATTCAGGCAACAGAATGCTTGAGAAAAACACCATTAACATCTGCTCTCCTCAGATCAACACCAGTTCCCATTCTCAGAGACACACAGTCAAAATAAAAACTCCGAACCTGACGGCATGGGTACGTGCAGCGTGCATACAGGTGATTCAATGCTGTGCAAAATACCCAACCTAACCAACAACACAACTCACTTCTGAGTACCATGAGAGATTCTTACAATGTCCACAGCATCAGACCTTTTTGTAAGACACTGCAGCAACACTTGACACTGCTCCAAAAAGAGTAATTCTGAAAAAACCTTCTTTTAAACTGCTTGAATTTCTGCAAAACCACACAAGATTTTTAGCTGTAAAATAGTAATGACAACAGGAAACAGACTGCACTGATGAAAAACAAGTTTTAATGCAAATTTTAAAGGCATCACCATTCTGGAATTAATTTCAGTCTCACAGCTTCAAGTTACTTTTAAACATCTGGCTTATCTGTCACTTCCTACTTTTTGCAGCAAAATTACTAGCTGACAAGTGGTTTTTGCAGATTTCCATTAACTGTATTTATTAACTTAATAATTGCAACATGAACTTTAACTTATGTAAAATCCATTCCTTTAAAAAAGTAACAAACAGTAGAAGACCATCATATTCAGTATAAAGTATAAAACTATAGGAAAAAAACCTCCACACAGATGTGAAAATATCTGGCACTATTAAAACATTAGGGTTTTTTTAACCAATTTACCACAAATTAAAAAAGGAAAAGGCCTAGTCTCATTCACATCATAAGGCATGCAAACACCCATGAAATTCCTCCATGTCCAAATTTTCTCCCAGCATTAACCAATTGAGACACAATCACAAGGAGGAATGGATATGAATACATTTAAAATTGTTACAATACCTTTAGGGTAAAAATTTTGCTTTGTTTCAGCAAGACCACTTCAAGAAACCAAACCATAGAAAGTCCCAGTGAAACACAAATGATGATCAATACTCTTTTAAATGGGTTAATGCCTCTTGAAGCAATTGACATTATTTCCTTAACCTGCTCTGTCTGAAAATTTATACCAAGAAATACAGACCAGCATGAATGTTAAAATTGTTAAGTATTAGAAACTAAACTTAAGCTTTTTTTAACTTTGAGAAATCTGGGATAAGAGCACACCCAGAGGAAACAGCTGCTTTTAACAGAAGAATGAACATTATTAACAGAAAAGACTTGCCTTTTTAGAAGGAACTAAAAATATGCTTTCCATATATGAATATGGATTAGTGCCTACAGCATTATGTTTCTAGTTACCAGAGACTATCTTTTGTCACTTAAGCAATGCTTTTTGACAGTTTTACAGGCTGTTATCCGAAGGACTTAGGTATTTATGGCTTTATTCACTTGGGCTTTCTGTTCTTATCCATGGGTTACTAAATCACCAAACAGATTTTTTTTTTAAGGGTCTGAAATTAGCTAAAGGATGCCCTTCAACAATAGAAGCTTAAGACAGTACCAGCAAAGAGCTTCTCTCACATGTCCTTTTCTTGGTTTACTAGTTTTCTCTTCCTGCAGACAAGCTAATGAGAGTTTGGGCCCAAACTGTTCATTAGTGCAATGACCTGATACGATTTATTGCATCCTTAGTCTATTCCATTTTAGTGCTCTCACCCCAATGCACAGGAGACACTGGCTTCTTTATTAAGGCTGGTTGAGGGATTCTATGCTTTGAAACTGTTTGTCAAGAAAAGGAACTTTTCTTTGGCTCAAGCTTTCCCTGAAAAGGTGCATTTTTCACCAGCTTTAAATCACTTGGCTTCTGTCACTTCCATACTCTTGTCTGTTTTTACAAGTCATACAACAACTTATTCTTGAGCTACAAAAAATTTTCAGGCAAACACACCTGTTTATGACCCAGAATATAACAGAGCTGTTTCTGTAATATCTCACGGTTGTTGGGATTCATAGAACTACTTCTGAAAACAAACCCCATCATTTCAAGCTCCTTATTTGCATTAAAAAATAGAAAACATCTGTATGTGGATGACAAAGGCTTTTCTTGCTTCCCCCAAACCACTTTTAAGGGAAGCTTGCATATTTTTTTCCTGAAATGAAATTTAACTGGTGTAGTAATACCTCATTTCATATCAACCAGTCTACATATTCCCTATTTTTATGCACAATAGTCTAAAGATTTATGTTTCCCTGTGCCATACACACTGAAAAGCCTATCCACTTAAAACTGCATATGAGTATTATATATATATATAT